CTACTTTGGAAATTAATATGGAGGTTTTCCTCACCACTAAAACTAGTATTACCATAGGACTCAGCCCTTTCGCTGCCACCGCCACTCTCTTCCCGGACATACACCTAAAGAACCCTATGTCCCATCACAAATACCACAGATGTTTCACAACTAAGCATATTTCTAACTAAAAGGCACAATAGCTAAGACTAAGACGAGGTCTGTTATCCATATGGAAGGATGGAAAAAGTTTGTGTGTGTGTGTATACATGTGTATGTATGTGTGTTGGTGAGTGTGTGTTAGATGTATGTGTTTATACGGGTGTGTAGAGGTCTGTCGTGTTTGTAGAGGTATGTGTATGTGTGCAGGTGTGGTGGCTTTTCAAGGTTGTCAACTTGACCACATCTGGAATTAACTAAAACCCGGGGGGGGGGGGCAGTTACCTTCAGACGGGATTTTCTTTCCTTTGTTCCTAATTAAATCATTTAAAGTGTGAAGACCCACTTTTAATCCAGGTCTCTAGAGTGTGGTGACTAATACAGTCATACAGTGTATGTGCGGGGGTGTTGTGTAGGTATGTTGGGGGTGTCGTGATATGAAAAGGGATCATGAGAGGAGAAGCAACCTTCGTGGGGGAGGGAACGCATGTGACATGAAAGCAGAGGAGGAGCTACAGTGGGGGAGCACACAGACCAACAGGGGGCAAGAGAATGCAGAAGAGAAACAGGGAAGGAAACAATAAGAGCAAAGTGTGTGTGTGAAAATGACACAACCAAACTGATTATTTGTGTGTTCGCCTAAACAAAAGACCAATTGTAGAAAGGGAAGGAACAGATCAACATTTCTTTTCATCTTGGCATTCATGAGGAATAAAAGCCTTCACTTCCCTTTCTTCATCCAAGGTGCTGTTTGCTCTGATGCTGATGAAGGGAAAATAAAAATAAACACTAAGTTCCTAGCACTCTGGGCTCAGGAGTTAACTGCTGTCCTGACGATGCCTTTCCTGAGGACGCTCACTGCTTTTTCTTTTTCTTTGTTGCCTCTTGCCTGTGTGTGTTCTTAAATGCTGATCCATCCCCAGTGCATGAGATTTCTCAGCTGCTACCATTGCACTTCAGATTTGTTTCCTGCCTTTTAGTTTATGAACTGACAATCATGACCCACAGACAGTATCACTTCCAGGCCGGATCACTTCTGAATTCCACAGTCCCCTCTCTCTACTCACCACAAAGATCTAGGCCCACTAAGAAAGGTCTCAAAACCCATAGGCTGACTGACTTAGATAAGTTTAGTGATAGCACTTGGAAGAAAAAGGTCTTCTCTTGAAAACGCATCAGTACTGTACAGCTATGTGATGAAGAGGTAGAACTGATTGATGGGAGCTGGGCGCTAAGAGTAAGGCTTTCTTCAGGGATAGCCACTTCGTGGAGGGTTCTTCCCACTCCATTAGGCTCAGTTCTAAACTGACAATGGTAAAGCAAATGAAATTAGACTTTTCCTGAGCACGGGATGAACTCATACATTCATATAAATGTATATAATAAAAATCTCATTTATAAAGGCCCAAGACACTCATAACATCTAAAAGGTGGGGGAAAGGGAACCAGTTGAAGCTTTCAATTCGGATAGTTTCAACCTAATTTTATGTTCATTCTTAGTATCGCAGTAAACTCTTTGATGGTCTGTGGTGGGTGAAAGCATTATTGACCGGGGAGCTATAGACTATCCTACTGTCCTGACGTCCAACCAAGGACATGTAAGATGCTCACAACAGCCAGGCAGGCCCTCTTTTGGTGTTGCCCAATCCCCATAATGGCAAAGGAAATCGCTCCTTTATGTGATTGATTTCCAAGGATTCGATTCCAAAACAACTGCAATACTGACCACTTTGAGGAGGTCTGTGGGGCTGGAGAGAAAACTCAGTGCTTAAGAGCAGTGGCTGCTCCCACAGAGGACCAGATTCAGTTCCCAGTATCCCCACATGGTAGCTCACAACAGCCTATAAGTCTAATTCTAGAGGATTTCATGCCTTCTTCTGGCTCCCATGGACTTCCACGCACACAGAGACGGCATACAAACATATACTCAGGCACACGGGCATATCCGTAAAATCAATAAATAAGCAAATCAACAAGCCTGTCGTAATTTTAAAGAAGAGGTTCTGCCTTTTGACTCACTGTGACTTCTGTCGCTATTGTCACGAACTCCATCAGTGAGACAAACCGATGTGTTGTACGCAGATGAAAAAGCTCAGTGTCAACAGGGTTTCCCAGCTTCTGACAGTTACAGGGAAGCCACAATGTGTCAACAGCCCCAAATACTTAGATGAATAAACTACGGTTCCCAGGACTAACATTCAGAGAAGAGGAGACAGAAAAAGAGTTCTCAGAGGAACAGCAGTGAGGACTCTGAGCATCATGGGAGGAGGCGGAAAAAGCAATAACACAAGTGCCTGGACTCTCCACGTATACACACACATATTAACATTAGAATACATTCTTCTCTAAAGGTCTTTTCTTTTGCTCAGCGGGAGTAGAACCCAGGACCTTACACCTGCTAGGCAAGCATTCTACTCACCTCAGCCCCAACACCATTTTTTATAAATATTTGTAAAAAGTTTCAATGCTTTGGTTCTTTGTTTGGGGGGAGGGAAATAATTCGAATAACAGAAGGGAAAAAAACAGTTTGATAGAGAAATGTCATTGAATGGTGTCATCGGTTGCATATGAGAAGCACTTAGGAAGGTACAGTAGCTGAGGGTGGGTTCACAGAGCTGACATCTAATCCGGGGTTCTCACCACGTGCAGGGAGACTGCAATAAATGTATGCTAGACGGGTGCAAACACTTGAAAAGTGTTGATGCTAAGATAGGGGTCAGGGATTGGCACTGACTTGACAGAGACTGACCCATGAATGAGAAAGAAAAGTAGAGAACCGTAACGTTAAACCACAGATTACCAACGGGAGACTCAGCATCCTAGAACCTGCCGTGCTCTTCCCAAAGCATCATAAAATACCCAGAATCCTTGGAGAGGAGGCCCAGGTAGGAAAAGAGCAATAGAAAGGGAAGCCTGAAGATACTTCCTTACAAAATATCCTCTCCTGAGAACTGTTGAAGTCAACTATGCACCGTGACTCACGCCTTTTCCTATGTGACCTTTAAACACTTGAGGATAAGGGGGAAAAAGTGAAACAAAATAAAAACAAAAACTGTCAAGTTTTCGAATCTAAAAGGCGAAATCATGACCCAGTTTCAACCTGGCAGATGCACCACTTCGCCCACACAGTCACTCAAGGAAAACAGGACACAGTTCAGGAGACGAGAGGAGGGAGGGTTCGTTTTTATTAGAGACACCCAACAGCACTGTCCTAGGGCCCAAGACTGCAGCTTGCTCTTGCCTTTCAGCCAAAATGAAAACGCAGAATAAACCACCATGGTAGCCTTGTAAAACATTAAGGAAAGCTCCAGGGGCAAGAAGGGGGCGAGCACCACAGAATGGTCCAAGGGGCCTTAAGCAGCGAGAGATGCCCTGTCTCGTCATGTTTCCCATTAAAGGCTGCCTTTTGGAGCAAATCCAAAGGAGCAAGGAGGCCAAGGCGTGTGGCTTGAGCACCCTCTGTACTGCAGGGAGCCTTCCCAGGCCTTGGTCAGTGCACAGTGGCAAGTGTGGTCAGGACGACTTGCCCCAAGAGACACGGTTTGAACCACAGCCATCGGACCCACCCACTCCCTCTCAGTCCCCATCGGCCTTCCCAGGATGGCCGTCTAAACTAACTCAGTTCTGCTCTGTGCTGTACTCCTGACCTCTTCCTTCCGGCTGCATCTGCAGCTACCGGCACCATCCATCAGGTTATGCTAAGCATCATGCGAATACCTGGAAAATACTGTCTTCTTTCCCTCTTTACCGTACTAAGTCCCGTCTCTGTGCTCCTTCTTTCTGTGGACGTGCCTCCAAGCCTCAACAGTCCCTACAAAGCCTGCACGGGCAAGTCCATCCACAGTCAACACAGGTTCTGCAGAAGGCAAAGTTCTGCAGGACTTGTAAACATTCTTGAGTGGTTTGGCGTTGCTCAATCCCCATAATAAATCTCACACCTACCCCTCCCCCCTAGCCTTCCACTAGGCCTTGCTACCTTAATACCAAATTGCTTACAGCTCTATTCCAGTTTAAAGTTTGTTTGTTTGTTTGTTTGTTTGTTTGTTTTTGGAGGGGTTGGGAGAGGGAACTGTTGAAAGAGAAAGGGTTATACTTCAGCTCCCAGTCCCAGGTCACAGTCAGCCATAGCAGGAAGTAAGAGCAGCGGGAATTTAAAACAACTTGCCACATCACATTCACGGTCAAGAGCAGAGAGAAATGAACGCATGCGTGCTTCTGGTACATAGCTCTCTCCCTTACACAGTTCGCGACCCAAACCCAGGGAAAAGCACAGTCTCCTTCAGGCTGCATCTTCCCACATCAATTAATATAATCAAAAGCAATCCCCCAATCAGATTGCCCACGGAACAGCCTGATCTAAACAATCCCTCAGAGCGTGTGGATCGTGTGAGAGTGACAGTTAAAATTAACTGGCCGTCACGGGGTCTTGGAGAAGTCTTTATTGCTTGGGTGTACAGCACGGTCCTTCTATGGGATGCCTCTCCTTCTTCACTCACCAGAGCTGGGGAACTGCGTCTAACGGCCTCAGCTCGGGACTTAAGTCCGTCCTCCGACAAAAAGAATCCATCTGAATTTCTACCCTCCAAATACGCTATCCATCTCCCCAGCCCTGGTCTTCCCAACCGTAACGCTGTCGAATAAATATTGGCTTCAGTGAGTTTCCTGCTGCTAGTTTCAGGGGGCTGCGGGGAAGGGGCGAGGGCTGTGCCCTGCAGCCTGGAGGACGGACTCCGTGGACGCTCCTGGAACGAACGTTTGTGATGGATCGGACCCTGATGGATCGGACCCCGGTGGAGGAGAGTCACGTGACCGACCCGTCTTCTTTGGCCTAGGTCTGTTGGAGGGGGGCAGGGTTCTCTTACCACTGTGAGGTAAAGTCAACCAACTCCGCGGAGAACTTGTCTGCGGGGAGCTGGGGGGATGGCTCTTCTACCACCTGCTTTAGCTGCTGGAAGGGGGTTCCCCAAGAGTCGTAGGGAAACCGAAGGATGGCCAGCTCAATCTGAAAGGAGGGAAACAGGGGGAGGCAACCGTGTGAGAAGGGCTCGTTAGGAAGCAGCTGTGTTTCTTTTTTGACAGACTAGAGATGAAGGCCAAGCGTAATTGGGGAAGAAAAAAAAAAAAAAAAAAAGCCAATGACCCGTTCTCACAAAATCTTAGTGCTGGCTTTTCTTAAATATTATCTCACCAGCAACGGATCTTTAAAACCTACCTAATAACACCCAGATAACACCCAGAGCAATTTCATAAAAACTTATATCAGCCAAGGGCATTAAAGTTCAAGACAGGAAGCAACCAGTTTTTCAAGTCTCCTGCCAGAAAAGGAATGCTTGAGACTTTGTCAGCACTGGGCCTCTGCTGCCACCTACAGGTCTCTCTTGGTAAAATGGAAAATTTAAAAAAAAAAAAAAAAAAAAAGTTACCCAGGACCAAAGGACTGATCTTTTTTTGGACTTGAATAAAGGGCACTCTGCTGTTACAGAATCACATGTTTTCTGGGCGAGGACATGGGCTAACTCACTGGATAGAATCAGCTGCTGGCCCCGGGCAGGAGCCGGGACCACAGTAGATAATTCCAGACCTCAGAGATACACTGAAAATGTACAACCCCAGAGGCTACAGACAAGGCGCTGAGCTTGTGTCCTAGGACTATGCTTGGGAAAGTACACCATCCATTATCGTGTTCTCAAGAGAGAGCTAACTTCAACTCCCAAAACTTCCTCCACGAAAATGTTCCCTGCAGAGCTGGGGACTGCGCCCAGTTGGCAGAGTGCTTGCAATGAATCCATGAATCCAGGGGTCGGTTCCCATCACGGTGTCAAATTAAGCATGGTGGTACATGTCTCTAATCCCATGGAGAGAGGAGGATCAGAAGTTCAAGGTCACCCTGGGCTACATACAGATTTTAAAGCCAGCCTAGGCTACACGGGATCTGGTCTCAAAAAATTAAAATAAAATACATAGCTTAGTGAATGTGGCCTATCAGGGTCTACATACATTAGCATTCTTTTTTGCAACTTAAACTTCTTGTCTTAAACTATGAGAAATCTGTTAACCCCCCTTCTATCAGAAAGATGGTCTGTGAAGATACCTGCATTATTAAAAGTCGTATGACTAGTTGAAGACAGAAAGAAGAAATTGGACTGCCAGAGCACGCTGGAGGGCTTCTACTGCACCCCACTGGAAACAGCCCTGGAAAACGACCTGCCACCTCAGACGGGAAAGGGTGCCCAAGTGTGATATCCGGGGCATTTGTTTCTGGGTGCCCAAAGCCTTCCCCAAAACCTCACAGCCCACAGGGAGGATCATAGGTTACCATCGTGATGCCCAGACTCCAAATGTCAGACTTCACACTGTAGCCCTTCTGATTGAGCTCCGGGTTTATTCGTTCAGGCTGGAAGGGAGACAGACAGCGAAGAAACAGAAAGACAATTGAGACGCCACGTGCCGATCAATAGGGCCGGGGGTGGAGACAGCACCGTCTGCCATATGAGTTATTTGATTCTGTTAACGTGCCTCCCAGGCCAAAAGACTGGGAAATCTCAAGCCAGGAAATGTCTCCACGGGGCCTTCCCTCTCTACGTTGGTCCTTTCTTAGCGGTAACAATGAACTCAGATCCCTCGTAACAAATTTTAATTGCCTTAAGAAGAACCAGGGTTCAAAAACTTCTCTAGCCACTGAAATCATCACCGGCTGAAAACATCAACAGCTCGGAACCCACTAAGAAAGAACCTGCGGTAGCTACCGCCTGATTTAAGAGACCCTGGGGACTTTGACTAGCAGCTTTCCACCCCAAAACACGTGTCCTTCATCCCAAGACGGATGTGTCGCTGCAGCTGAAAGGATCTCAGGTTCTCGCTCGTTGGCAGTGACTGCGCACACATCCTGAGGGGTCTGTGATGCCCACAGCTGCCTTGTGTGTGGAGCTGAAGTCCCCCACAGTCTTCCATCCTCAGGAACCAAGTGTGTAAAACTGTGCGGCAGTGCGCATGACTTCCGTGCATTTCCAAATACTATGTCGCTTTGGCTTAATTCCGAAATGTAATGTATGCTATGGTTTGCATGTTTGTGTCACCCAGGTGGTAAAAGCCTAACCCACCCGTGACCAAAAGGGAAATTGTGTCTGTAAAAGATGACTTTGCGCTTGGGGTACATTCCTCATGAGTGAGGTTAGGACCCTCATAAAAGAAGCCTCGGGCAGATCCCCTGCTCCTTCCACCACTTGAGGACACAGCAAGGAGCCTCAAAGGGGCCAGAGAAGCAGGCCCTCACCACACCCTGAATCTTCCAAACTCTTGATCTTGGACTTCCCAGAGCACAAAACTCATTAAAAAAAAATAATAATAATAATAATAATAAAATAAATTTAAAAAAAAACCCTGTGTTCGGTAAGGTATCAAGTTTATGTTATTTTGTTGCAGCAACCTCAAAGGATGGAGACAATACATGAGCAAGTGGTAATGATTTCAGACCTAAGACCTTTAAGAAAAAGGACACATGAAGAATATTTTATGAATCTGAGGTTCATTCCAATTTTCCCTCAGCCGTCCATTTCTTATTTTCTGGCCTGGTTTTTGCAAGCAGGTGTATTTCTCAGGCCACACACCCTCTGGGTGTTATACTTACAGCCATGTATGGTTTGCAACCTGCGTCAATTGTTTTAGCAACAGAGTCCACCAAGTAGCCGCTGATTCCAAAATCACACATCTTCACTTGGCCCAGCGTGTTGATGAGCACGTTAGAAGGTTTGACATCTGAAAGAGAGAACGGAGAGTTGCTTCTCCGCCACTAGAGGGCGCTAGACTCTCCACTGGTCTTGCGCACCTGTGTTTGCCAAGCAGCCCGATGCGAACTTCACACCAGCCCTGACTCACAGCTGCACACAGCTCTCTCCTTTCCCCTTGCTTTTTAATTCTTCACATTTTGTCTGTCTGTGTCTTTCAGGATTATGAAACTCCAGGTAGGAAAACCTGTCTCCTCTGCTCATCTTTTCATTTCATTGCTTCCATGTGTGTAGTAAGAGCTTAAAAAAACCAAACCAAAGGGATCTATCAGGGCTGGCTCACTGGGTGAAAGCCTTTGTCACTTAGCGCCGGTGTAAAAAGCCTGGTGTACTGTGTGTATTAAATCCCAACATTTTTGCAGGGAGAAGGGAAACACGGACAAGAGACTTCCCAGCAGCTCATGAGACAGCTAACCCGATGAACACAGCAATGAACGAGACACTGCCTCAAACGAGGTGGAAAGCAAAGACCAACACCTGAGGTTACACCTTGACCTCTACAAGCAAGCGGTGGCACGCAAGCGCCCACACTCACACACACGTACAACACACATATCACACACACACACACACACAAACACACACACACATAAAGCACTCTACTGAAGAGTTAGTGTGAGAGTAAGAGGCTGAAGAATGAAGAGGAAGAAAGTAACAAACACTATGCCAAGTATGGCCACGGCAAGACATTTTGATTGAAACCTCTATAAGAGATTCATCAAAGGTCGCCAAGGTGCAAAATGTTATAGACCCAGGCATGCTCAGACATGGGCAGGTCGCTGAAGAAGGGGTAACAAATGAACCATCATTAGAAAAACAACCCACCCATTGGCCTGCCCGAGAAGACGCACTTTTACTCTCTCTAGGTGGAAGAATTAGAAAGGTCAGCTAAACTTCTGCTGTCTGGGACACTTTCCACAAATAACATAAATTAAAAAGAATAGGTTTGTTCTAAAGTTAGTCCTTCAGCTGGGTGTGATGGCACAGGCCTCTAAGCCCAGAACTTCAGAGACAGAGGCAGGAATATCCCCTTAGCTACATAGTAAGTCTGAGACCATCCTGCACTACAGGAGAACTCGTCTCATAAAAGAAAAGAAAAATTAAGCTATTCCCTTATTATTTTTCTGTTAAACTGTATGACACACCAAATATCACTTTATTACGTCCATAGCTTTGTATATGCTCTAGAAAAAGAAATTCAAAGAACTTGCACACATTCAGATAATTGTTCTCATCTATCGTCCCTCTTCCTTCCTATGTTCCACTCCCCTATTTTCCCAGATTTACTGCTACCAATTGATGCTAGCAATAGCAGGTATACTGTGCAGGGTTTTATATCATATCCAAGTTCACAGAGATTAAGGATGGCCCCAAGCACAGGCCTTAGCACCCATGAGTACCTCTGCTAAGTTCCAGAAAAACCACTTATTCTATAAAGTGCAAGCTACCCCTGACTAGAACCTTCCAGCAATAGTCAGCTCCTGGTTGTCCTTTACACTACTTCCATATATGGTACTTTCCTATTTTCAGGATGTTTACTTGAAGTTTTTCTAGTTATCTCTTTATTGAGAATACCTATATAGAATTTTTTGTTTCTTAATTAATTAATTTTTAAATTATTTATAGCTTATTCATTTTATATACCAGCTGTAGACCCCTCCCTCATCCCCTCTCAATCCCACCTTCCCTCCCTCATTTTCTCCCATGCCTCTTCCCCAAGTCCACTGATGGGGAGGTCCTCCTCCCTTTCCAACTGACCCTAGCCTATCAGGACTCATCAGGACTGGCTGCATTGTCTTCCTCTGTGGACTGGTAAGGCTGTTCCCCCATCAAGGGGATGTGATCAAAGAGCCAGTCACTGAGTTCATGTTAGAGACAGCCCCTGTTCCCCTTATTAGGGAAACCACTTGGATACTGAGCTGTCATGAGCTACATCTGTGCAGGGGTTCTAGGTCATCTCCATGCATGGTCCTTGGTTGGAGTATCAGTGTCAGAAAAGACCCCTGAGCCCAGCTTTTTTGGTTCTGTTGCTCTCCCTGTGGAGCTCCTGTCCCCTCCAGGTTTTTCTATCTCCCCCTTCTTTCATAAGATTGCCTGCACTCTGCCCAAACTTTGGCTCTGAGTCCAGGATCTGCTTTGATACAGTGCTGGGTAAGGCCTTTCAGAGATCCTCTGTGGTAGGCTTCTGAGGTATATGGAATTTTTAAGGGATATATTTTCCGAGATGGCTCTTCTTGACATTACTAAAACCATCTATACTAAAGGTGGCTTTAGAGTCGACAGAGATGCCTTAGCAGCCAGATGCCTTGCTGCTCTGCTAGTAAGCCTATGTTCAGATCCAAGCACCCACATCAGGCAGTTAACAACAGCCTGCTACTCTAGCTCCAGGGGATCCAACACCCTCTTCTGGCCCCTGTGGACTCTGCACTAACATGGCATATACACGTAAGTAAAAAACAAGCCTAAGGAATGATTTTATGAGACAGATGGATAGAAAAGGATAGGTGATTAGACTAGATGAAAACATAACAGCACAGCTGGGAAGATGGCTCAGCATATAAAAGCACACGCTGTGCAACCTAAGCATGAGGGACCTGAGTTCAAGTCCCAAGAAGCCCACATTAAAAGCTGGTCCTGGTGATGCACGCCAGTGACCCAGCCCAGCTCCTTCAGTGAGAGATCCCGCCTCCAAGAGATGAGACAGCATGACAGAGCAAGATCCTGACTTCCTCTACATACATGCGTACGTCGTGAGCACACACACACACACACACACACTCGTTCGTAATAAGCCGCACACGCACACACACACATTTGTACATAATCCACAAGTGTACTCACACACACAAACATCTGTACATAAGCCCCCACACAAATATACCTGTACACATGCACAAATAAAAATAAATGAAAATTAAGAGATAACAGAAAAAGAGGAGGGATAGGAAGAAGGATGAGAAGAAAGAGACAACACCTTTTTTTTTTTTTTTTTTTTTTTTTTTTTCTTCACACTTCTCACAGCCTGGAAAGGCTCTCCTTTGTTCTGGAGATTTCCAAACTGCACTGTTGCAGACACATCCGGGGATCTTGTTTAAGACATAGGTTCTGATTCATCTAAGCCCCTCCTCCCACAGAGGGCCCAGTTCAAGCTGGTGTTTTCCCTCACATCCATGGCTTACAGCCTGAATCTGAAATGTCTTCCAAAAGCCCATGTACTACAGGCTTAGTCTTCAGCTTAGTCCTACGGGGGGGAGGCCAGAACCTTTAACAGGTCGGGTTTGCAGGAATGTTTTAAGTCACAGGAGACTGCCGTTGAAGGGGATTAAGGGATGCCAGGCTCATCGTCTCCCTTTCTTCCTAGCCATAAGGTAAATGAGCTTCCTCTACAACATGGTCCCACCATCTTGTGCTACCTCACCACTGGCCAAAAAGCAGCAAGAGTAGTAAAACCACAGACTGAGACCTTCAAATCTGTGATCCAAAATTAATCTTTCCTCTTTAACAGTTGATATCATCAAGTGTTTCGTTACGGAAAGAGAAGATTAACACAACTCCTGACATTTTTTTCTGCAGTCCCATGGGAAAACCCTTTAGCCCTCTTGCCTAACTCAGCCCCACCCCTATATATACAGGGAAGAGAGGGAGAGGAAAGGAAACACCAGGAAAAAGAAATGAACTTAGCAATTGCAGCTGCCAAGACAGCTTATACATGCTTACCTCGATGGATAACAGAGAGCTTACTGTGTAAATGCTCTAATGCTTTTACAATCTGCAAGAGAAACAGGGTAGATTTATTGACCCCATCACTGAAAAGAAGCTGAATGTTAAGGGTGTTCAACTCTCTTAATGTTCCTTCCTTAAGGTTACCGAATGAGTGATTCTCTCAAAGAGTAGAAGCCCTAATCAGAAAAACAACAGGAAGTTGTCTAAATTGGACTCCTCCCACAAAGGAGGATTGCAGAGATACCTCCTTCATCTCTCTTAAGCATCATTTTAACTCCACCTTCCTGAACCTTAGCAGCCATTAAGGTTGCCTTGTCTTCTAATTCCTTTTACAGCTTAGTGTTAGGGAAACATTAAAAACTACAAATGAAAGTTGAACTAAAGTATATCTGAGTGCAGACGGAGGAATGGCAGTCACAGACTATGAATACAGGTTTGGAGGCCATGAAGGTGAGTTTAAATTGTCATCTTGGCACAATCTGGAATCATCTTGAAGGACAGTCTAAGGAGAGATTGGCTAGATCAAGTTGGCCTCTGGGCTTGTCTGTGGAAGATTCTCTTGATTATGTTCATTCAAGTGGAAAGGCCCTGCCCACTGTGGGCGGCACCATTCTCTGGGTGGAAGATTCTGGACGGCATAAAAATAGAGAAAGCAAAATGTGTGCATTAACTCATTGCTCTCTGCCTTTGACTATGGACGTAATATGACTTGCCACTTTAAGTTCTTAACACCTAGATTTCTCTATAACGATGATCTGTAACCCAGAATTGTGAGCTAATTAAGCCCTTTCTCCCTTAGGTTGCTTCTGTTGGGTTTTTGGTTTGTTTGTTTTGTTTTTATCATAGGCAAAGAAACAAAACTAAGATAGAGGCATTTGGTGGGGTTTACCAGGTCAATGGCTGAATGCACTACACAGAGACTGTTAAGAAAAGCATTAGCCTCCCACTGTCACAGTACCCAACAGATACGTGTTAGATGGTGGTTATCAGGCAAAGACACAAAGCCTAGATGTCGCCTGTCCTCCTTGAGTAGGCGGGGGTCAGGATGTACTCACAGAAACTGCTATCTTCCCTAAGATATCCTCTGGAATTGTTTGGCCTTTATCAATGACTTGTTTGTAGAATTTATCTAGTGACGTATCCATGAGCTCCATGCAGATCCACACATCACCCTGGACACCAATAAGTTCAGGGATTATCAGTTAGGAGGTGGGGAAATGAGAAAAAACAACCAACAATTTTCCCGAAGGGTTATTTCTTATTGAGCTTCTAGAAGAAAGAGATGGTTTCTTCTCATGATTTTTTAAAAAGATTTATCATTACTTTATTTATTTATTATTATTTTAAAAATATATATATTATTATTATTATTACATTTATTATTTATACGGTGTTCTGCCTAAACGTATGCCTACACGCCAGAAGAAGGCACCAGATCTCATTATAGATGGTTGTGAGCCACCATGTGGTTGCTGGGAATTGAACTCAGAACCTCTGGAAGAGCAGCCAATGCTCTTAACCTCTGAGCCATCTCTCCACCACCCTCTCTTCATAATTTTAAAATCACTTAAAAGCAAAGAAAATGATCTCCAAGAAGCAGCCCAGCAGAGAGCAGTAAGACTATGAGATCAGAGACTCACAGGCTGTTGTTCTCCTTGGACCCTGAACGGAAGGGTCACCTACCTCCCGGAAGAGCGCACCGTAGAAGGTGACGGTAAACGGACAGTCCACTGTCCTCATGGAAACATCCAGATCCATCAGTAGCCGTTTCTGCTCCTGACTATTGACCGTGGCCCGGATCCTCTGAGTGGAAACAAACAGGAGATGTTCGGTTACTGTTCTGAGGAAGAATCACCCAAAAAGGCAGGGGCCCGCCAGAACCCCATCCCAATGACAGAAACAGACTTCACACTGTTGGCAGAAACCTCACCCATCGCACCCCTGAGCACTCGCTATTTGAACAAGTGAAAAATAATGAAGATGGCCGACCCTTTGCTTTCCTGAGAAGCCCATGCTTAGAAGCAAACACATAGTGTATTTCAGAGAGTGGGCATGAATATGGGAAAGCACTTCAAAGCTGCAAAATCAATCTGGTTTAATGCTTATGTCCGCTCAAAGCAAAATGTGACACCACTGATTGCTTCCTGCTTCTCCAGAGTCCCAAGGTTTTAAGAGAAAAGCACCCGGGGCTGGAGCCACTGCTCAGTAGTTAAGAGTCCTTGTGGTCTTGCAGAGGAACCAGATTTGGTACCCGGCACCAATGTGGCAGGTCACAACTGTCGGTAACTGTAGTTCCAGAAGAACTGATGCCCTCTTCTGGACTCTGTAGGCACTGCACACACATGGTATACATACACGTAGTCAGGCACACACACATGCATGCGCGTACAGTAAAAATAGATAAATCTTTAAAACAAAAATGAAATAGCAGAAAAGGTGGAAATCCCCACTTTGGGAGAATGTTGAATACCATAGCTACCAAAGCCATAGCCAACCATAGATATCCTTAGGGAATTCATTCTGGAATAAAACTGGACATGAAAGCCACGGATAACTGTATCTCTAACATAGAATGTTATCATTTGGACATTCTAAGGTCTCAGCTTCCCATATTCCAAGGTCACCTCTAGACTACTCAAAATCTACCGTAGGGAAGTAGGCTGGCTCCAAACTTCTGCCCATAGGTCTACCCAGTCAACACTAGACACACATTATCCTTTTTTTTCCCTTCTTCCACAAATACAGACAATCTTGTTTCTCAATTTTTAATTCTTGATTTTCAAGGTCAGTTCTTTTAAAACAACACAATGTGTAGCTATAGTGGCTTTTGTTTACAATCTGGTTTGCTAAAACAACAACAGAATAACAATGCTTTGAGATAATCAAGGAAATTTTAATTTGGATTGGTTTCAAATGAGGTATTTAAAATACTACTAGTTACTTTAAGTGTAATTAGTTAAATGACTACAGAGATGGTTAAGGGCACATACTGTACTTGCAGAAGACCAGAGTTCAGTTCCTAGACTCCAAATCAAGCGTCTCACAATTGCCTACCATTACAGCTCCAGGATATCTGACGCCCTCTACTGTCCTCCAAGGGCACTGCATCCATGTGCATAGATACACACACACATACACACACACACACACACACACACACACACACATACACACACTGTCTCAAAAATTCTTTAAAAATTAAAAAGTGGGAGACAGGGAAGACTCAGGAAATAAATAGAAAGTAGATATGACAAAGGTTGATGGAGAACCTTGCTCAAAGTTCAAGTGAAATACCAATCCATAAAAGAGTACTTATTTTTTATTCTATTGTGGGTTGTTTTGCTTCTGTAAAAATGGCCAGCTCACAGTCAAGACGGGCGGGCATGTGCATACACTGAGGAATTAAAGCATTTTGCAGAACGTCAACTCTACCTTCACTGCCATGATCTGCCCGCTGGGTACATGCCGCATCTTCTCCACCACCCCGTACGCACCTCGTCCCAGCTCCACTATGGGCTCCAGGTCATCTGCCTTCACCTCAAAGTTCTGTAAGGAAGAGCAGTCACCGAAGAGAAAATCAAAAACTAAACAGTGCACTGAGTATGCTGCCCTGTACCTGCCTTCTTCTGGTGTCCTTGGTGTGATCCCTAGGCCACAGGTTTTCTTTATTTGTTTGTTTAATTACAGTATTTTACTTACATTTGTATTTTGCCTCCATGTATGTCCCCAGGCATGTCTGTGTGAAGGTGTCAGATCCCCTGGAACTGGAGTTACAGACAGTTGTGAACTGCCATGTGGGTGCTAGAATTTGAACCCGGGTCCATTTGGAAGAGCATCCAGTGATCTTAACCACTGAGCCATCTCTCCAGCCCATGGGCCTGGAGAGTTTTTTAACATGTGAAGGTGCCACTTAAATCAAGGAGGACCAGGAAACATTTAGGCTCTTTTGGTAGACTACCTGCCTGTCCCCAGCAACTAATGCAACTCCACCCAAACTGGATTTCAAACTGTGCCTCTGAATCTGTCTATAGCTCCTTATAGTCTATGACTGGCTAATAGCAACTAGACCTGTGTGGCCTTGAGAAACACCCTCCCAAAAGAGCCATCTGTTGCCTTCAAATGCCTTCCATGCAAGACCACAATCACTGGACTGCAATTCACAATTGAAAATAGTAGAAGAACCCTGAGTCAGTTCCCTTTTAATTCATAACCTGTTTTGGCCCATTCCTTGACAGTCCGCCACAGGAAACAAATTCTTCAGTGTTCAGTGGGGAAGCATACAAACGAGGAGGTCTAAGTATCCATCAGTAGCACATGGCTTTTCTCACCTGATTTCCAATAGAAATGCAAGCCTTGGAGTCTAAATCTCGAGGTGGCCTAGGGATAAAAGAAGCAGCATGAGATATTTGGTTAACCACATCCTTCCCAAATAGGGGAGCCGATGGATTTGCTCTAAGGAAACTGGTGCAGGTTGACAGCCAAGCAAACAGAGGACCAATGGGAAGAGTGCGGGGCTTGAAATAAAATGCATTTGGTTTTACTCACAGCATCTCTTTGAGAATCTACTTCTTGTTTAACATGTGGCTACTAATGCGTACACTTAGTGGGGTAGGGATAAGTATTAATTGAGATCGCCCAGGAAAAATCCTACAGTAAATACTCAATAAATAAGATCCGTGTATATCACACATAAAAGAAACAAAGCTTTTAAAATCATGGGTCATAACCCCATGTGCTGTCATATAGCATGAAACACCAATGAAAACTGCCTGACGTACCTCGGATGCAATTTTATGCTACTGTATGTTAATGTTGACATGTTTTCACTAGACACGCAGGCCGTTCTTTCGTGGAAATGTAATGGCTTCGTGACGGGAAACAAGGCTTTCCCACTGCCCTACTACTATTCCAGTGTTTACCCAAGTGGTGTGTACTGGGTTGTAATGCTGAATTTTGAAAAATGCTGTTTGAGCTGCTGACTTGAGTTTCATAAAACAACCCATATGTGTATTTCGACTTGGGATTAGGACAGAGTTTCCAACAATTTCTGAAATGGCCCTAAAAACAGTCTTGCTGCTTTGCAATACATAGTTATGTCAAGTGGCATGCTGGGTATTGGCAGTTAGTAAGATAAAAATACCGATCAGCTCTGAAGACCCTCTACATGCTCTACACACTGCAGGATCGGATATTCAGCCATGATTAAATTGCTTAGTAAAAGCAAGCAGCACATCTGTCCCACTAGTATGCAAATGTGCTTTAATCATTCATGAATGGTTACGTTATATACATGCGCCATGAAATTATCTTAAAATAGTTATTTATAATTTATTATCAGTAGATGTCTAATATGTGTTCCTCTGAACTACCCATACTCATTTGTTGACCAAAAGGGACTCATGAGTGGAAAAAGCGTAAGAAGCCCTGGTATAGACAATAATGCTACAGTGATATGCTTTAGACCCTTCCTTTCATTCAAGAGTACAAATGTGTTCAGTTATGTTCACCATTTGTTTCCATAATTCTTTTTCTTAAACTGGAATGCAGTCCTGTTAAGTCACAAAATTCATAGAATGCAAGAACTCCAAAATATTCCATCCTGCCTCTCCCCGCTTCATTGGATGACTGAAAGGTAAGGAAGCGAGGTGACTTGTTCCTGACCACGAAGAACTCAGCTCTCCTATCTCAGCACACTTTCATATATCCAGGGCCAAGTACAGAGACATGTCTCCTAAACACAGGGAACACTCTATTCTGGGGTTGTCTCAGCACCCAGGGATTTGCTGACTTTGTACTCCATAGTCTCCTTCTGGGAATTAATTTTTATTACCTATGCTCTGGGTTGGTAGAAATCAACTGAAGAGAAAGGTTTTTGTTTTTTTTTTGTTTTTTTTTGTTTTTTTGGGGGGGTGGTCTGGCTGTGTACCTAGCCAGGGACAGAGAACAGTACCTTTTCAAAATAAATGCAACAAAAGTAAGACACATGTGGTTAACATCATCAAACAAACAGAACACAGCAGATGACATCAGAGAGTATCAGCACTACCCTTCCCAGAAAACTGCCTGGGAGCTCAAGTCTCCTAGGATGCACATTCATGCCTGAACTGTCTGCAGAACAAAGTAAAGGAAAATAGAGGGAAAGGCAGGAGAGGAGAAGATGAAAGGAAGAGAAATAAGAATCACTTGCCACCCTAGTTAGACTGAACCGTCAACTTGACAGTTCATCTGAGAGGAAAGCCTTGATTTAGAAATTGCTTAGATCAGACTGGCCTGTAGGCATGTCTGTGGAGAATTGTCTTGATTATTAATTGACATAGGAGGGTCCAGACCACTTGGGGGGGTGCTATTTCTACACATGTGGGCCTGGGTTATATAAGAGAGTTAGCTAAGCATGAGCTTGTGGCCGAGCCTGTGGCTGAGACAGAGAACAGAGTTCGGTCATGATTTCTGCTTTCAAGCTCCTGGTTTGGTTCTTACCCTGACTTCCCTCAATGATAGAGCATGACCTGGAAGTGTAGTCTGTATAAATCCTTTCCTCCCATGAATTGCCTTTGGTCAGACTGAACAGAACAGAAAAGAAACCAGAACACTTGCAGAACGCGCATTTTCCCCAACTCCTGTGTACTAGGATTTTATCTTTTCTGCTGAAACCAAATATACAAATAAAATAATGAAGGACAACGTAAGAATACAAACACAAAAATGTTTGTCAATCTAAGACTTCATGGCAAGCCTCAGTTTGGCAGGACACTGAAAGCTTTTCTAGGCTAACTGTAAACATGAGACTGGGAAGGAGAGTGAACAAAACTTTAATGTGCCTGTGTCATGAGGCACATGTACGTACTGTTTCCAAGCAGGCAATTTTTAAGATTTAATTGCATTTTTTAAATTTGTGTGTATGTGCATGTATACCTGTGTGTGGGTGTGTACACTTGACTGTAGGTGCCTGCAGAGGCCAGAAGAGGGCATCAGATCCCCTGGAACAGGAGTTACAGGTGGTCGTGAGACACCCAGGGTGTATGCCGGGAACTAACTGAACTCGGGTTCTCTGCAAGAGAAGCAAGCACTCATACCTTCTGCGTCATCTCTCTAGCCCCTAATTTCTTATTCTTAAAACAGTTAAAGCTGTTTTTCCTTTGGTTGTTATGATTTGTTTGCACTAATTTTAATAGCACTTTAAAAGGAAGACAGCTGTAACTCGAAATCTAACAATAAAATCTTTTGCAACTGTTTAGCACCCTTCCTTGGTAAAACTATGGAACAAAAAGAAAGGTCACTAAGTATTTATGGCTACATCTATTTTCCTGCCAACCAGTGAGATCACAGGATAGGATCTCTTCCAGATCTAATACCTTCTGTCCAGCCATGAAGGACTTTCATAAATTTAGTAATTCTACAATATTCTTTAAGTATAATCAACAAAGGATATATAACTGATGCCAGCATCGCCCATTGTAGCCCAAAATATTTTACTCTCTAGTTTTCCCAAGTGGTTGCTAACCCTGACTCTGAACTCTATTTACATTTCACTTCAACATAACAGGGCATGGTGCCATTTTCCAAATGAAAACCAAAAAGTGTGGTGATTTTATGAAGAAACATAGTTGTCAACTACACCGAGTATAAAGTTCATGTCACCTGATCCTCAGACTTGACCTAAGGAGAAGGAAAGAGGAAGAGAGCTGGATTAAGTACTTTACCTACTCCGTGATTCCCATGCAGATCAGACTGAATCAAGGGATGGGTTCCTAACACTCAGGCCTCTAACGAAAATGACTAATCCACCCAAGCCTCGGGCCTCTGGGTTCACCAAGTCTGCCAAAAGCATCAAAGGATGGGGCCAAGAGTGACAGCTCAAGCCGGATTAGCTGACACTGCGCTCCCTCTGTCCAGGCTTGGACCTATAAGTTTGCCTGAGGTGATGAGACTCAACAGAAGGCTAAACCCGTGGGTGGATATTCTTGTCAATTATTCAGCTTTTTATTCCTTTGGGGAAAGAAGCAAACTTAGTAGAAAATTCTTTCCCTGGAAGACCAAAGGTATTTCAAAGGTCGCCTCTGACTGGTATTTTATGTGAACATCAGTGATGTCCTAGTCTGATAATTATTTAGTTCTCTACAACTCTATGCAAGGAACCAGTCCATTCATTACTATTACAAGTTTTATTCATTTACTTTATTACACACCCACCTGCTGTGTAAGTAATCAGCTCATTGGTTACTATTACATGCGTGATTTGCTTATTTTATCAAGTACCCACGTGGGCCGGAAACATTACTGGATCATTTATATTAAAACAGCTTCTTTAACTTTTGTGATACTCAAAGGTGCTGTATCTCTGCATCAGTGGAAAGAAAGGACAGCAAAAGACATAAAATGATTTAATATTCTTTAATAAGATAATGACATGGGAACTCAGCGCTATACCCTGATAGCTTCTCACTACAGAGGTCAAGAATTCTGTTTACCAACCATGAACTGTTAGGTCTGATCTCACATATAGCTAAGAAGATAACTGAGCCTCCAATATCCCTAGGTTTATATGCTATCTTGTATGCTTGAAAGCTAGGCCACAAAACTAAACAACCTGAAGCTATGTTTCACTGGCAACTGTTATTATAACAGATCTGTAACCCAAGATCCGGGTTACAGGTGAGGACACCTAATCTCAATAGACATCGTGTCACTTAGCCCTAATGTTTTGAAGAAGAAACTAAAGCTTGGTGCAACAAGGAATCCTGCCCAAAGTAAGGTATTCAACTGGAGAAGTTTAGAGTCCAAAATTAAGACTTCACACAAAGCACTTGACCCTTGAGAAGCCCAACTATTTCACTTCTCAAGTGAATAAGAACAACTCCCACCACACATGCCAGGTCTCTTGTCAAGGTTACATGAACTGATAATTCTTAGCATAGAGTTCATTTTGAACAAGTTACTGCCAATCAAGGGAGTCGACAATTCAGAAACCTGAGGCAAAGACGGCCTGGCGTCAGTGACTCAAGGATGAGCAGGTGACAAATCCACACAAGCTGAGCTGAGCTGTTGGTGCTTTGTTTTGTTTTGTTTTGTTTTGTTTTGTTTTGTTTTGTTTTGTTTTGTTTTCTGTGAGACAGGGTTTCTCTGTGTAGCCATGGCTGTCCTGGACTCACTTTGTAGACCAAGCTCGCCTCAAACTCACAGCTGAACAGCCTGCCTCTGCCTCCCTGAGTGCTGGTATTAAAGGCGTGTGGCACCATACCCAGCTAATAATAAAAGTCTTAAAATAAAAAAGGATTGTAAGGCAACTGAGTGGTTGATATAGGTAAATCTGAAGTTCAAATATAGATCTAAAGAGCTAGCCTCACATGCGAGACAAGCGCCTTAACACCGATTACATGCTAAACTCAGTAAGTTTAGGTGCTGGGCATGGTGGTGCATGCCTTTAATAATAGCACTACATGGGTAAAGACAGTTGAATCTTCATTAGTTCGAAGCCAACCTGGTCTACCTAGCAAGTTCCAGGCCAACCAGGGTTGCAAGTGAGATCCTATCTCAGAATAAAGTAAAAACAAAAAAAAAAAACAACCAAAGACTGTAACTTCAGAAATATGTGTTTTAAAAGGATTGAAAACAACAGACTGAAAAAAAAAAAAAAAAAAAAACACAAAAAAATCTTGTTAAAGAAATCAATAAAAATGCTGGGCCTGGTGGTGCATGTCCTTAATCCCAATACACAGAAAGCAGAAGAAAGACAGAAAAGAAACTCTAAACACCTACAGTGATGTAGAGTGATGTACTCCATTCCTGCACTATCAGCCCAGTGTGAAAGAGATAGCACCTCTCCCTCGGCTGACCTCCCGGGTAAGCTCAACTAACAAAATGTCAGCCAGTGTCTTTGCAAACAAGTACAAGTTTTTTCTAAAACTAACGAGAAAAGCAAAGACTCGTGTGTGTGTGTGTGTGTGTGTGTGTGTGTGTACACAAAAGCTTAAAAAATAAGAAAATTAATTTTTAAAAAGAACAAAATGAGGGGCTGGAGAAATGGCTCAGAGGGTAAGAACACTGGCTGCTCTTCCAAAGGACCTGAGTTCAATTCCCAGCAACCACAAGGTGGCTCACAACCATCTATAGTGAGATCAGGTGAAAAGGCACACATGCAGGCAGAATGCTGGGTAAATAATAAATGAATAAATCTTTAAAAATGAAACAAAATAAAAAGAACAAAATGAGAGAAGCCACATTCCCCAAGGCGTCATTCAAGGTAGTATGAGCCTGGAGGGAGAGCGGGTCCATAAATCAATAGAACGGAACAGAAAATCCAGAAATAGCTCAGAGTGAATATGCGCGTTTAGTATTAGACAAAGGAAAATGGCAATTCAACGGGGGAAGGACAAGTTACAGCAAAGTGAACTATATCAAAAAGTGTCAACAACCACAGAAAAAAAAAAAGAACCCTCAGTGCAAAGTAAGCTGTACAAAAACTTAGCTCCAAATGGAACTTGGGCTTCTAAACAGGAGCACTGAGACTGTTCAGGACCTAAGGCAGCAAGAGTTCTCAGATGTGGTAGAGACATAACCTGTACGAAGAATAGTAACTAGTAAATAGTGCTCCGTCAAAATCAAATTTTCCTGCCCTGCAAAAAAGTCCTGATGAAAGAAAGAATGAAAAGGATGAATTACACACTGGAAGAAGTATTTTCAGATAAGGTAACTAGAAAAGTTCAAGTACCTAGGATACATAACTCAATAGCCAATCAGGGGGCCAGAAGGATAGCTCAGTAGAGAAAGGTCTTTGCTTTGCCAAGCCTGGGGTCCTGAGTTCAATATCTGGGACCCACATGGTGAAAAGAGAGAACTGACTCCCTCTGACCTCCACAGGCAGGTACACACGTATGCGCGAGTGCACACACACACACACACACACACACACACACGAACACACACACAGGGAGGAGTAATAAAAAAGAGAAAAAAGGTCAATCACAGAAGGCAGCGGGGTGCTGAGAAAGAATAGCATATAATAATATATATATGTATATATATATATATATATATATATATATACACACACACATATATATATATGGGTTTCTCGTGAAATTATATATATGCATGTACACATACACATATGTGTATATACATGTATATATTAAAATTTCACAGAGAAACCCATTTCTTTGAAATGCTAACCAAAAATTAATTTTAAAATGAAAGCAATCATCTAATGAGGTGTAGGCAAAAGATAGACACAGGGGCAAGAGAGAGGATTCAGCAGTTAAGAAAGTATACTGCTCTTAGCGGTGCAGGGACCCTAAAAAAGGGGGGCTCACAACCACCTGTAACTCCAGATCCACGTAATCCTATAACTCCCTTCTAGATTCTACAGGCATGATACTCATGTCAGCAAATAGCCCCAACAACACATAAATAAAACCACCAGAGGAAAACATGTGGATGGAAAATGAACATCTAACATATTTCTACATAATTAACTATGAGAAGCATTCAAGTTAAAGCTACTAAAGTCATCCATTACTTTACGGAAGGACTTAAAAAAATACTTTTTAGTGATGGCAAGTCAAAAGCCGGCAGAGCTGCAGAGAAACGCTATATGTCCTCTGTATACAATTGTTCGGTGTATGAAACAGTCCCGTAGTCACTCAAGAAAACACACACACACACAAGTGCTTGTATGGCGAGTGAAATCAAATAAGTTCTCTGATCCACTACAATGTGGCTTCCTTGAGTATAAGAACACTCCATAGTTGTATAAGCTGTTCACAAACAGGTTGTATAGCCTGGGACAAGAGCACATGGGACTTTCATACCTTTGCAACCCCTATAATTATGTCAGAGTGTATCCCATAAAGTTCTGTACATACAGCACTAGGACACTCCATAGCTGACTGAAAGCTTTCTAAAAATAAGAGAAAAAAGTCTTTTTTTTAAAAAATAGAATTATACATTTTTTTATGTTTACAGTTCGAGAGAACCCCAAACTATGCAGACAAAAGAATCCCCTTCAAACAAAACCCAATATTTACGTAGGTAGGGGAAGAATTTCCTCCTACGGATCTTCATGAAAGGAATATTCCAAGTGAATTCCGTCTCTCGGCTACCCTGGAAAGTATCTTTCTGTAGCTGCATGGAATGCAAGGGCCTCTGTCCTGGGCGGTCTGTTGGTCATGTTCATGAGTACATCTCAACACTAGGGGGTGCTCTTTGTGATAAGATTGTGTCACAGCTAAGGTAAAATTTCCTTTACAAGGAGACCAGTGACTTGAAGCTGTAAAAACTCTCTGTACTTGCTCTGCCACTCTAGCGCCTCGGTTGTAGTTTGCTGTCTTGGATTCCCTGCTCCTCACAGGCAGATGCAGTGGTTCTCGGACCTCCGGCTGGATGGACAATACCCAGCCTCACAGACACAGAGGAGGATTTGAACTCGCCTAGCTTCAGCTAATACACAGGCATTCCTTTAGCCGATTTTGCATCGTTTCTATAGACAAGATTAGGTGTGCCAGGATGCTGGCGCTCATCAAATACCATCCTTCCGTTTCAACTCAAATTTCAGAGTAGTGGTCTACATACACACACGGGCTTATTTCTCTGTTCACTGATGTCTACAGGGAAATGTTGAGACAGTCCGCACCTGGAGAACCTGCAGGGTTTACATGGGATCTCAACTACCATGTGGCACACAGCTCTCACTCAGCCAGTGATTCCAGACATTGATTTCAAACCTGTGGATCACTGTTTTAGACCTCAGAAGAGTGAGCAAATGACTCTCCTCGTGGTCAGGCGGGAGGATAGGACTGGGAGGGGGACCACATGGCAAGTCAAGACCTTGCTCACTAGTCCAAAATTGAGACCCCACAGCAAGTGTGTAAAATATAAGTATTTGAAATGAACCATCATCTGGTCAACTTACGTGGAACTGGTCTGAGGCTGTTCAAACGCTTCTTTTGGAATCTTAAGGCCAGGGTTTCGCTTCTTGCCTATGGGGAAGGACATACAGAAAGAGTTAGAGTCTGTTCTGCCACAAAAGAGCAAGGACAGAGACTCCCAAGCAACGGGGGAAAAGGCATCTCACCTCTCAGCTTAGAACATAACTTGCAACAGGAGCAGCCTGTTACTGACAGGGGTCAGGATACCAGAAAGCTTCTCAAATGCAGGCCGGGATCAAAGATGGCATTTCCATAAGCCCAAGGTGAGCATATCACGGTGGAAGTGTGAACTCTTGCTGGCAGTGTGCCTCAGTGGCAAAGCATTGTGTACAATGTGCAAGATCGTGGCTTAATCCCCAGCCCTGAAGAACTGTCAACTATTTTGCTAAGGAGGCAGCGCCTGCCTACCAACTGAGAAATTGCCACATTAACTTCTTTGGTTGTTCTTTTATACAGTGATCACGGTGACAGTCGACACTGGTTACGAGGTGGGATGTTTTGGTTGTTGTTTGTTTGTTTTTGTTTTAACTGCCACAAAATGGTCTCAATATCCTACAGTTTTCTAAATCAGTGTGAGAGCAGTTGTTAGAACTAATGATAGAAATGAATAAGGAAACACTTCTTGTCTGTTCTGTCTCTACTCATTCCTCAGCTACCCACGAGAGGCTGAAACACTGAAGAGAGCGCATCTGACTTAGGACTGGAAGCATGCAGTCATACATTTACTCTGCTCAGAAAAGGATAACTGATGGGCTCATGCCTGGAGGTTATCGCTTCTCTGGGATCCAGATGGGAACCCAGGCTGCCGATGTTCATCCCTGGGCTGAAACTACCAGAGAGTTTGACTCAAGCACTTCTGCTGATGCGTCACAAGGAGCAGACTAAGAAATGTCAGCTGGGGAAGCAGATTGGGAAAACGAGTTTCGTCAGGGGCCTGGGAGTTTCTTCCTGTGTTGATCTCAGGTATCTGCACTTGGCAGAAGTCAAAGCAGAGAAATGGATTTGATGCCTATGGTCTTGCTCCTTTTCTCATCTCTTCTCTGTATTGCAAGTGGGCATGTCGGTGCTGATGCAAGCCCTGGATGAGATCCCAGTAGACCCTAAGGCGCAATATAACTCAAGAAACCAAAGTGGTCTCTGTATGGAAAAAAATGCATCCAAAGCGCTTAGTGCCTTGTTCAACATCACAGAGTCAGCAATAGCCTCGTCAGCATCTGTATTAGGGTCTCCTCATACCTGATGTGGAATTCTTTCCACTATTCTATCAGGGCAGAAGCTTAGAAATGGTTGGGGAGTTGGTTGGTGGAAGATGGAGTTTTGAATTCAAAGATCACAGGGTTATTTCTCTTACCCAATGGCCTACAGACTGACTATTTTCAAAAGATATTTTTAAATTTTTATGTGTATGGATGTTTTGCCCACATGTATGCCTGTGTACTACACTCATGTAGTGTCTGAGGAGGCCAAAAGGCATAGTGTCCCCCTGGAACTGGAGTTATAGACTGTTGTGAGCCACCTCGTGGGTGTTCGGAATAGAACCCAGGTCCTCTAGAAGAGCAGACAGTGCTCTTGACCACAGAGACATCTCCCCAGCCCCCTAGATTGGCTTTCAGGTCTCAGTCTTCTTGGTTGTAAAATCCACAAATAACATCTATATTTACCTCTCTAAACCAAATGGAATAATCAAACCAGACAAGGCATATGAAAAACATTGAGCTACCGAAAGAACCTTTTCATTACGATCATATAGAGAAATAATCTATACGTCTCATTTCATAAAATAGTAAGAAATCCATGCATAGAACTGGTTATAGTATTAGAACCCTAGAATAGTGTATAACTGAGCTTTTCTCTCTATTCTTTAGAAATTCCATAGCTATATCAATTCAGCAAGCAACATAAAGGCAATGCTAGTCAACAATCAACACAGAGAACGCCTCTGGGGAACATTTTTAGTAAATAGCTTCTCTCAACTCCCTCTTCACTTCTTTCTGGTGTTCTAGGAGACTCAATGAGTGTACAGCATTACTCCCTTCTCCTGAGTCTCAGAGGCCACTTAGCACATATTTTTTGAAGTTAATCATCTCTATACAATGTGGACTGACTATGCACAGAACTTTTCACTGTGCTGCCAGGTGCTGGGCCTGACCTTGAGTCCCAAGCACATGGATGGTTTAATTCTGAGCAGCCACACAGGCAAGAAGATGCAGTTGAAAGGAGTCAGTCACTCCAGGGAGATGCAAGACGCGCCACTTTAAATCACGACAAATGGCCTGCCCCACAAGCAAAGAGGTGATCAGGAACTCCCAACGAATACTGCCTCAGTGTTCTCTCAAGCCAAACAAAAGTAAATCTGTTCTGCCTGTATTAAGGGCTCCCAGTCGTCATTTGGTCAGACCTGGGACAGAAGTTACTCTTTCCTCTCTTCTAACTTGATTCCTAGGTGACAAGCTGAGGACAGAACACTGTTTAAATTTAGAGGAAAGTCACCGTTTAAAAAGCTTAACCCGAGGCTGGAGAGATGACTCAATGCTCAAGAGCATTCATTGGCTGCTCTTCCGGAGGACCCAGGTTCAATTCCCAGCACCCACCCACGAGGCAGCACACAAGTGTCCGTAACTCCAGTTCCAGGGGATCCAACACCCTCACAGAGACATAAATGCAGGCAAAACACCAATGCACATGAAACAAAAATAAGTATTTTTTTAAAAAGCTTAACACAACAGGAGCAATTTTTAACAGCAACTAAATGACGCCGTAACACAATACATTATCAAAGCATCGATCCAAAGACAGAGAAAGATAGGGAGGAAGCCAGGTGAGGGATGGAGGAAGAGAAGTGGGTAGGGACAGATCTTTGAGGACAGAAATCAACAGAATAAATGACCAAAACAACAACACAGCCTTCCTCTGGCGCTCCCCCACTTCCCCCGAACACCCAGCTACCGCACCCCACATCACACCACTCCTCCGACCCTGCATTCGCAGCCTATGGCTGAAGCGGGCGGCCCCTAACCTCCTCTAACATCTTACTAACCACAGGTTAGAGAGCTTCACGGTGTTCAAAGTTTTCACAGGTGCAAAATTCCAAAACATTCAACTCCGGACGGCAACAAGAATAAACCTCGGGCGGAACCCAGCCGGCATCCCTTAGAAAGAATGAAGTCTCTTCTTGAAGGATGTAAAGCAAGTAACGCGAAAACTGCCCACGTGTCCCAACCTTCCAGAACTTACTCATCCATCTCCAGGAGCTTCATCGCCTCCCGTGAGGTTTGCAAAGCCGCAAACGGGGTCCGCAGGAGGAACCCCGGCCGAAGTCTTCCAAAAGCTCCCAAGCCCCACTCGCTCCAGCTGGAGGCAGAGAACAGAGCAGACGCCACCTCCTGCTTTCGTGTGGTAGCGAACAGCGAACAGTTCATTGTTCCCCAGGCAATGGAAGCCACCAGGGGAGGAAGGCGGCCAGCGGGCCTATTCAGACATCCAGGGGAGGCATTGATCATTAACCAGCCCCGGACTTATCAATCCTTGAAGTAACTCTGGGAGCCCAGATCCCTGCCCTTTTGATAAATGGCTCTTTCTTTCCTAACAGAAAGAAAAACAATAGGTGGTCGGCTTCCAGCTGTGTTTATTTCTGGGCAATCTGTTCCCCTCAAGGAGGCTGCCAACACCTCGTGCTAACATTTAACACTGCTGGGGTGGGGGGTGGGGGGTGGGGGGTACTTAATGGGAAGGAGAGCTCGGAACAACAAAGTTAAGCGGCCAAGAACGTTAACGGACCTTTCCCTTGATAATCCAAACCAGAAACTGTCTAACGTCAGAAAATGGGCTTTACCTTAGGTGACGACAAAAAACAAGGCTTCTCAGAGAGAATGTTGTGCTTCTTGTGTGCCTTTTTCTTGGTACAGACTTGAAAAGGGGGAGCCTGCCTGGCTGAGTACACACAGCCTGTGTTTTATCTATGTGTGTGTGTGTGTGTGTGTGTGTAGAATTAAAACAAACAAACAAAAAAAAACAGTTTCTCTGTAAACAATATCATCGCGGCACACTCTGAGACTCAGTACATTCACCTTAAACCAAAGCCACCTCATGAGAATTCAAACCCGAGGTAAAACAGCACTAGGCTGAGGAAATAAATAAATAAATAAATAAATAAATAAATAAATAAATAAATAAA